AGCTTCAACCATTTCTTATTTGTATAGAAATCAATCCAATTGCTTATTAGTTATATCTATCAAATTCTATGAAGATTCATGTTATCTTCTACGTATCTTTCTTTGAACCATATAAGACAATGAATATCTCAAAAAGAAGACAAATGCCACATCCTCTTATAAAAATGGATAATAATCAAGAATTTAAGGTAGAAGAAGACTTGGACTCAAAGCAATGCCAAAATAGGTTAGAATATCTTATTTATTAGTGCGGATATGATATTAATGAATGCACATTGAAGACAATTAAGAATACTATAAATTTAGTAAAAAATATTGGTACTTTTTATTAATAATATCTATCAAAATTAAATTAAAGAATAAAAAAACTTTACTATAAAAAAAATGTTTTTCAAAAAAGATTTCGTTTTACTTTTTAGTTTTATTTGTAGCATTAAGAAGATGAAGAATCAAGAACTATTATATTCAATTCAAAAGCTATGATTTTCTAACTTAATAGATGAAATATTATGATTATCACAACCTTCAAGACGATGTAATCAAGATGAAGATCCTCAAAAATGACAAGTTCTTTCTTGAATAGATGGCAATGTACAACACGTTTGATATCACAACTTTGGAAGAGATTCTCAATATTTGATGATTTTATTAGAGATAGGAATGTCTCTTAAAGGTCTTATAAATATTTTGTTTGAAGGAAGTTATAAAGGCTTCAATAATAATTACACAATAAGGTGGTATTTTTACATTAAAATAAGATATTATCAATGATTGAAAGGACCTATCAACTATCTTCAAAAAGAACAAAGATCAAAGTATGTAGCAAATATAATTTGCCCCATCTTAGACTTTCTCAACATATAATGACTATTCATTGTAGAATTCGTTCTTAGAAAGGGAGATAATATCATATACATATATATTTACTTAAATAAAAAGTATTAAGTAGAAGTTAAATGTCAATAGATTTGATATTATCTTGTGGAAAAGCTTCTTAAAAGCTTCATAGATACGTATTTGACTTTATACATATTTATAGTTGGTTGATAGGTTAGAAACTTAACCAAAAAATTAATCAAGTAATATACATGTGGATTACTTATGATATAAGCTAACAATGTAGTACACATATAAAAAAACTTGCCTTGCAAGTTAAGACATGTGACTTGCAAATTAGACATGTATTAGAGGTCTTATAGAACATCACCATATCGTTTTTAGTTAATAGTATATATGGAGGTAAGAGTGAAGCCTTCTTTATTCTTGTGAATGTCTTTTTAGTTCTTAGTCTTATTTCAAGACTTTTTGGTCTTTTGTCTTTGACAATAGTCATTCCAATTTTAATACTATATTAGTTTTAAATAATTATCTATTGAGTTTTTGGCTCTTTGAGATTTATGTCATTGATAAGTATAAAATACTACCAATGACTAAAAAGACCTATTGTCACAAATATATATATATATATATATATATATATATATATAAAAATTAAAGAAGTTAATTTGAAATAAATGAAAGTAAGTAGATTTAATATTATCTTATATGAAATCTTTTTATAAGCTTTATAAACATAGATTTGATTTAATACATATTTGTAGGTGATTAATAGGTTGAAAACTTGGCTAATAAGTTGGCTACATCTTACATATATTGGTAACTTATAGTATAAGTTGGCCATATGGTACATATACAAAAAAACTTATTTTATAAATTAAAGACATGTCTTGCAGATATAATACATATTAAAGGTCATGTCGAACTTTACCATATAGTTTTTAGTTAGATAGTATATATAAAGAAAAGAGTAAAAACTTCTTCACTTTTATTAATAATTTTTTTACCATTTATTTTGTTTTAAGAACCTTTAATTTTTTGGTCTTTGCAATAGCCATTTTAATTTAATATTATATTATCTTTTAGCACTTATTAATACTTTTTTAGTGACATTAGAGTATATTGATTCTTTTTGTTTTTTTGCAATTCACATCCTTGATACCTATCAACTACTTATAATGAAAATAAAGATCAAAGTATGTAGAAAATACATCTTAGGCTTCTTCAACAAATTATCATCCTTCTTTATAGAATGAGTCTCTAAAAAAATGATGATGTTACAAATATATATATATATATATATATATATATATATATATTTATCTAAATTAATGGAATTAAATGATAATAAATAGAAATAAATAAATTTAATAATGGCTTATAAGAAGCTTCTTAGAAGCTTTATAAATACAAATTTGACTTCATACATGTTTATAAGTAATTGATAGATTAAAAACTGAGCCAATAAGTTGGCTATATATTATACATGTTGGTGACTTAAGATATAAGTTGGTCATATGATAGACATGTAAAAAACTTGTCTCACAAGTTAGATCCATGTCAAAGGTCTTATAGAACATCACAACATAGTTCTAGATTAGATAGTTTATATAGAAGTAAGAGTAAGAAAGGTCTTATTATTATCAATGTCTTTCTTGTTCTTAGTCTTATTTTAAAAGTGTCTAATCTTTTTATATTTAGAAATTACCATTCTAATTCTAATATCATACTCTCTTTAAGTAAATATCTATTCTTTTTTAATAACAAAAGTGTGTATTGAGATTTTTATTGTTTATGATTCATATCTTTAATAATATGTTGCAATATCATAAGGATCTTTATTCTTTGTATTTTATAGATTTTTTTGAACTTCAATTGTAGATATTCCAAAATCAATTACTTTCACAATAATATATTAAATGATCTTTTGCAACAAAATTATTTGCATAATATTAAACAAAATATTATAAAGCTTTAGATCACAATGTGCATTTCTTGCTAGTAATATATTAATAAAGTTAATATTTTACTTTATAATTGCTAATAAAATGACTAATATAATTATTATTATTTTTTAAAATAAATTTATTTTATGTTATTTTTTTAAAATATGGAATATCATAAATTATTTTATTTATAATAAAAAAATTAATTGTTTTTTTTCAAAACTTTTTGCAAAATATGGTTTAAATATAAGAATTTGCTAATATTTTTAAAATGTAGTTTTAAATATTGGAAATAAATCATGGATTTTATTTCATGTGTGCACATATTATATACAAACCATGTGTTTGATTATAATTTATTGATGAAAAACCATGTTTCATCAAGAAATTGTTTTAAAATAATTAATGTTTTACAATTGCTATGTAGTAAGTTTTAAAATTTGCCTCTTAAAATCATCTGCCACTATTCTACAATTGTGGTATTTTCTTTTATTCTTTTAGCACTTCTGCATTCAGATTGATTGTCAGCTTTAATCCGATTCCATAAACAAATCAAGCATTCTGTAATATCCATTAGCTTCCGTTAAAATGACATCCTTAAATCCAATCCGTAAAATGATGAGAGACAAAATCTAATATTGTTCAAGGGGAAAAAATTAATACGAACTCCAAAAAAATACTAATAATAATAACTATAAAATCACATCTTTTTTAAATTAAAAAAAAAAAAAAAAAAAAAAAAAAAAAAACTCCTTTAACAAACTCTAAACCCTATGTACACATACACACATCATACTAAAATACTCTCTTCTTCTTTTTTTTTATTATTACAGATAATCCACTAACTTTTCAACGAAGTTTAGGTTTTCAAAAAGGAGAAATCTTATCGTGCTTCCCAGGAAAGAAAGAAAGCAAAAAAAGTAACAAGTATTAAAAAGTGAAGGAAGCTGTGTTTTTATTTTATTTTCTGATTTGTGGCGGGGTGTCGCGTTTCTGCTAGGAGTCGACGGAGACATCCGCCGCCTCGGTTTGATCCCAGCCCACCACAAAACAAGGATGGAATCTGCCCGTTAATAAAAGAACTGGTCCTCGCCCAACAACGTTCACATGGCCGTTGTTCCCATTGTTTGATTGTTGACACTTTTCGACTTCTTCAACACGGGGTTCTTATTTTCTACTGGCTTGCTTGGAATTCTACACATTGCGAGACGGAAACCGCACTATTCTTTGCCTCTAGACGTTGAAACATCGAGATACATTGAAATCCGAGCATCTGTTGTCCTCCCTGTAATTTCGGGCCCAGTGTACAGTAGCGCATCATTGATTTGTTCGATGTCGTACATCGCATTAGTTCTGAGTCACCTAGGTTTGTCGCGAAGTGCCTGTCCGCAGGACGAACTTCCAACATCATCGTCTGTACGAGCGGCGCGGTCGCTACCTTTGTGAGAAGTGAATGGATCTCTGGGACTGAATTACAATTATCTGCTTGGAGGGAGTGAAGCAATTTGATGGGAAAGAGTACGTGTCTTTGCCATGGCAGCGTTTTGCTTTCGCGTTACTTTGTGAGAGGAAATCGATACTCGGCAGCTGCAGGCTGCTATTGTTGCTGGTAGGTGCCTCCAACATTTGGCCACAATCATTCACGCCATATCATCAATGCATAGGCCGGCCGCGTGTCGTGACTTGAAATTGAGATCGTTTCCCCACTCACAATGGAAGCGACATCTGGAGTACTCATGGTAAAAATTCATAGAGTTCACTACAATCATCAATTCGGTAGAAAATTGCGCTACTTCAGTGTAGAATGGTACGATCTGGATTCTCTTTGTCGGATACTTTGGCGGATGGGAACAGCAGCTGGAAAGGCCACTTGTTGGATGCTAGCCACATTAGACACGGACAAGTCGCAGGAACAGACGCATTGGCGCTGGTGTGCCAGCGGATCACTTTATACTGCTGACTCATGTAATTCACAATACTTGCTCACTAGTAGCTTTTCAACACCTTGATAATGGAAACAATGAAAGAACTCTACCCGAGTTGGGGTAGTTACCACTAACGTTGAACTAAGTAGAAGCTCAATAAAACTGAGATTCAATGCGAGATTGGCGTTATGTTAATTGATGATAAGTTGATGAGTGCAAGTGCTACGGAAGGTCCCAGAATTGGAAAAAAACTGCGCAAGACTTCGCAATGTAACTGCGATGGTCGGTTATATACAGACAAAAGGAGGCTTCATTAACAAGTAAATCCGAGGCTGCATGTATGGCACAACGTAGGATAAAGAACCGTGACAATCTCCCTAAAATTAAAACTTTTCCATATACATTGGATTTCTCAAAGTTTACCATGTTAGAGGGGTTACGGTAATACCGGTTCAGTATCTTTAAGAGCAAAGAATGAACAAGTTCTACACATTATGTTGCAACATCCTGAACTGTTAGAAGTTTGCAAGTATAATGTCAGGCCTATAGAAAGCTATCTGTGAAAATTCAACTACACATACAAATACACTCATCAACGAATTTCTCGTTTAAGGTTGTTGATGCGGGAGTCCATCGTCTCTGACATCGCATTCAAAAAATCACACTCACTGGCAGATGGATGCAGATTTTTTTCCACTTCCTCTATCATTTCTTCCATCGTTGACATCTTAAAGAGGGTCTCGCGACACATCATGGAACCAATATGATAAGGGGTCAACCCAGCAGCTGCACCTTTTTTCAGAAGCATTGTAGACAACCGAAACACTCTTTTACATAAAGTTCGCAAAGACCATCCGTGCTTCTGGAGAAGCGCCAAGTCCTCCTCTGCATCCAAAGACTCGATATACTTCAATGTAGACGGTGAGAACGGTTCCTCCGCTTGCGACCAATAGATCCACTCGAACGTAACATCTTCGAACTGCACAGTTTAACACAAAGCACTTAGTACACGCATACACGCACGCACACACAGAGAGAGAGAGAGAGAGAGAGAGAGAGAGAGAGTTTTACATCAAGAACTAGGAGGATTCACAATAACTGCACAACACGACGCAACTACAAAATTCTTACCTTCTCAGGTAGGCAATATCCGTGATCGATTGGTACAAGCTTCATATCATTGTTCTCATCTCTGCAGACAAGAATGTTCCCGCCATTTCTATCAGTGTTGGCCAGTCGCATGTCAAGGACAGCAATTTTGTGCACATCTTCCACGTCAAATTTCGCAGTCCCCATATCTTCACAGCTGGTGAAGGAACGCACAAACTGCTGAAGAGAGCCAAGCTTGGGCTTCTTTACAACATCCAAAGTGTCATCAGAATATCGAAAAGCCTCGTGTGCACATCGAACCAACATTGTAGGAGGTACACCAGCAAAACCAAGGGGATGCTTCTTAAAAGAAGTTCTCCGCCCTTCCTTAGGATGATCGAGCAAGTAGGCAACCACTTCCCGCATGGCCCCTTCTCCTACTCTCGTACCTCTCTTCAAACCTTCACTGCTAGATACCCTTGAAATTTTGGCAAAACCACGAGGATTGTTTATTGCAAGTGGCTCCTCGTCGACAGGCTTGAAGATCGCAACACTTTCTACACCATAAGAATTCTTAAGAAAATACGCCCCACCAGATCCTTCCGATGCCAAGGCAGGCGCATAACCTCCCTGAAGACCAGCCTTCGCTTGTTCAAGAATGTCAACTAAGACATCTGGAATCTCATACCGTAAAATTCCACACGCAGGCTCCAAAACATATACAGGTTGAACCGCATTCTTGGTCGTACCTCCATTCTTAAAATTGTAACTTAGTTGACGATGAGGTATAGTATACTTGGACTGGTCTGTAAGAGGGACCTCCTGCACTTCCTGAAGGAGAGCCTTCCCCTTTGAAAGAACAGGTTCGTCTGCTGATACGGAAAGTTCCACGTCTTTGCCAACAACCCTCGTCCGGACTTTCGATGATCGCCTTAATACAAGATGAACCACAGCATCGTCCTCAAGACACAATTCATCAATGCACTTCTGGTCTTCTAAATTTTGCCCTCTGAGAACCAACTGTTGCGCATTCAAAGCTAGGCCCTCTTTCTCAGAGATCTGCTTCTTCAGATCGCGAACACAATGGCTACGTTCAACTTTGTAAACGTACTCAGTTCCATCAGCCGACTTGATAGTGACATCGACAATATCATCGAGATACAGAACTAAATGTAACTTTTCTCCGTTCGAGACACCATAATCCCTGACCAGGCGGTCATTGCGAGTCAGCTCCCTAACCCCATATACAAGCCTCTGTTGTCTAGTGTAGAATCCTTTGTAAGCCTGAATCTTCATTTTAACGGACGATATGGTGTCGGACCTGAAGACCTGCATGGGGGTGGTAGTTTCGGAGCCAAGTGTTGCAAGATAAATTTGTATAGCCTCCACCGACGGCATAGCCCCGCGATGAAGTGCGGGTAAAAAAGCTTCCGCCGGAGACATAACGAGCCCAGAGGCAGCCATTTTGACCAATTCCACCAAAAACCAATGGAACTTGTTCAAGCAACTCCTTAACGCAGCCGACAAGTAGCGCCTCCGCTTCTAGACGCTTACTTCCTTCAACCCCTCATGCTGATCGATGAAGCGACAGATATTGTCTCGATGTCTAGTCAAATACGCACGCGGCCGACGCGATATACTTCACACTTTAGGTTTCACAATTTAAGCAAGTACATATGTATTCACAATGACATTAGTAGCTATATCCGCTGTATCATACAATCTATACTACATAATATTCACAATCAAGACAGCTGCAAGCTCAGCTCAGCAGCTGTGAAATCCAACAACTACATCGAACTACTCATACAATTTTCCTGGTTACAAATTCCATCGCAATTCTTTTGTTCGGTTGCTGCAAAACAGCATGCGAAACCCGATTACAATCCTTAGACGAGGACCTCGCCTAACACTAAGTGTTGCAACCCTTCTCGTGCTCTGTCCCAACCTTGAGTATGTTGATGTTGAACGTGATCAATACCAATCCCCTCTCCGACTATCAAGTATGATGTAATATCCACACGGCACAGAATATGGCTTATCTTCGATATTAGTGTAAAGGACTTGCAGCACAAGGACTGAAGTCTCCGAGACACAACTCTGAATAATGCGATTCCAGTCTTCACCAACTCATTTCCTCAAATTTCGTATCGAGTTTGATGTTTAAGAAAAAAACCTTTCGAATCGTCTCGCCGGAAAAGACACGTGATCAATGCCAACAGATGTACTCATATAAATCTTCGAGTCAAGATCAACTGCGCCAGACACAAGCTCTCAAACGTACAGCATAACACAACATACTAGACATATCAACAGGGAGTTTCTTCAACCGACGCGATGGAGAAAGATAGAAAAGAAAAAATAAACGATCAACCCCGCTCTTAACACGCATGCCTCGTTCCCTCCGACACCTCTCACGGGTACACTCTGTTTACAACTGCAGCACAGCCACTGCCACAACCGTCCATCACACCCTAAACGCTACATGAACTCGCTCCTTACGAGACGCGAAACTCCCCTCGAACCACCAACATGTCGCACCCCTTCCAAAAAAACGTCCAAAAATCGGTCAAATTGCTCTGCTCTCAATGCCTGGACACTGAAATTCGTCTTCCTACAAATGTCCCCTTCCCGCGACCACCGCAGCTTCTCTTACTCCTCAATTCCTTCAAACTCGCCGTCTGGTTAACAACATTACGCTCAAGTGGCTACCAGCGCCACTTGAATTCCTGCCGTTCATCACCAACTCCGAGCACCTGCGAGAATGATTCTACAGCCTCCACCTCACACCCGTACCCGAAACACAAATAAGAATCACCACGCTCAAAACTCGTCCGAGGGTGGCTACGGCAAAAAACTCCAAACACAGGAGCATAGAACAGAGGATCGTTTCCGCGTGAGAAAGTAAGGCTCACACCATAGAAGGCGCAAGTGAAATAGAAGGGCCTAGAAGCACCGTGGAAACTGAGGGATACATTCCTTCCGTGTGAACAGTGCCACTAGAAGCCCTTTAGAGCAAGACTTTGCATAATCATCCTTTCCACGATAATGCTCATTTAGTTACTGAAGACATTCACCGTAATAAATATGAAAAATCATATTTGTTTGCATCCTCATAGTGCACTGTCCAAATATCATTATAATGTAATATAATTTGGCACGTATACGAAATGATCTCCTATGAGAAATTATACTTGTTTTTATTTTCATGTCGTCAATTAAACATTGTAAAGACACACGCACACATCATGCGACGGATGACAGTCCATCGACTGAGGAATAGTTACACGTGTTAGCGTGTGAGGTTCGGTTGCTGACTCATTAGTACTCAACTTACCAATCACACACCAACAGCCAGAGTTCCTGGAGTCAATCTCACCTTCCTGAGCACCGGAACCGAGAAGCTCCCCCCCCAACGATACTATTGTGGACGGCATCCATTTCAGTCAGATCGTCACCAGAATCATCCCGCTCCAGAGACTGCTTTAGCCCTAATTTCACAATCAATCCAAAATGATTCTGGCTTTGATCTTACTGAAATATATTCAAGGGTGAATGAGGGCAATGAGCCAGAGTGAAGATACATTATCTAAAAATTGCACAGTGACACAGAGATAAAACAACAATAAAGGAATAGTGATAGGTCCTAGACTACGATCTCATCCTGAGCAAGTTTGCATTTTCATCCACACGGGGTATTTTTAAGAATACCATGATCAGACACTGATTGTGGAAAATATCCACGATTACTGGAAATTAACACAGGAGTCTTCTGGTAATTCCTATCTCGGCGTGCACCCCAAAGCGAAAGCGCGAGTTCAATGAGCCATGCCAGAGTTGGAATGTGGCGAACAAGGAGCTCCGTCCAAAAAGGATGGATTGCGCGCTCGCTCACCTCTTGGAGCGAAAGGGAACATGCGCAAATGTCAGATGCGGGTGATGGACAAAAGGCAGAGGGGAAGGGAGTCAGCACCCGCAACACCCCTGCGGAATTTCCCAAAATTGTGGTGGTGGGTGATAAGAATTGCCGGCACTTTCCCGCAATTCGACGAGTCAGAATCCTGGCGATGTCTCCGCCTTTGTGTCAGATCATCCCACTTGTGACGCACACTACATTATTTTGGACCAGGAGGTGGGGCGGTGGCCATGGTGGGGGCAATGGTGCGGGAACAGCTGCCAGAACGACGCCTAGCGTTATTCCGGGTGGAGATATCTGTGGCAGCCCGTAACGGGTCCATGTGGATGAATGAATGGCGATGTGGTTTAGTCCTGTACGTGTTATGTCCGATGTTTATCGTCCAGTTAGGATGAATGAAACCTATCCACACGTCACCCTTCGTGGGCTCAAACCAAATTTAATTATTCCCTATTTATTTTTGGTTTTAATAATCGAAATTGGATTATGTATTGATGTTCGTAAAAACTCTGTCTACATGTTTTACTAAATGGGACATGAGCCCAAGAATAAATATTCGCATGGTGAAAAGAATACACTGATTTCGTACATGAAGCTTGGGAGAGATATCTTCTGCACCACGTGAAAAATAAATTAAGTTAATGCTTCTCAATTAATTAATTATTTTATATGTGAGATAGCAAAGCCTTACACATGATCTTTTCATATACTGGCCCTCATGTTAGACTGCTCAACCTGATCTTTGGTCATTTTCAAGGTAATTATTCCACGTGTTCTATTTTCTGGGAATATCTGGAGCCATTTTCGTGTTATTTTATGGTGATGTACACAGTAGGCAATGTAACTTCAGGATAACCAAATTATGATCTTTGGTTCCGAGACATATATATTTAAAACATTAAACCTAGCAGGTATAGATATAAAATTTCATTACATGTTTCGATACTTTGCAGCAACGATACTACAACGTATTCAATAAACTAATTCAATAAACTAATTTAATTTTTGGTGCTTCAGTACAAGAATATATTATTATCTATGGAAGATATTCATTTTTTAAAAAAACTTGTAAGATTCTTAAGCTTTAAAAATTAAAAATTAAATTAGTTTATGGAATTTAGACTTTTTTCTAACATAGGTTTATTTGGTTATAATAGATCATAGATTTCTAAAACCCATATTATCAATCAAGTCTTTATATATTATTATTACGCCAACTATTAATAGATGTTTGATCAAAATATATCTTGAAATAGTGTTCATTATTTTGTTGTAACAATAACTTAACTCAATTAAAAACTTTTCACATAAACTCTATTTTGACCTTCTTACATAGGTTCTTAAAAAAAAAAACTATATATAAACTAAGTTTTATGATATATGCGTATATATATATATATATATATATATAAATGGACTTTATATTTTTTGTTAAATCAATTATTTTTTAATTTTTAAAAAATGAATCCTAAAACTTGAAATACATACATACATACATATATATATATATATATATATAAAAGAGAAATAAAATAAAATCTTACATAACTCTAATATATATTATAAATATCATGTTCTGTTTTCTTATCACTCTGATTTTTTATTGTGATGTTTTATTTTTTATTAATATTTGTGTAACTTGTGATGATTTATTTATGAAATAACATATGTTATAACTAAAATTAATAAATCTCAAGCTAATAAATAATAATTTAGGGTAGTGTTTTGAAAACTGATATTATTATTACAATATACAAGCTTTAAATTAAATATGTGTGTATATGTATGTTAATATAAGTATGTGTATATGTATAGTTTAGAAAAAAAATCAAATAAAAATGTATTAGATAGACAATATCTTCTTAAAAATATATTAAGTCTATCTCTTAGATATAAGTTCAATCTAGATGAATCTTTTAGATTCTAGAAAAAGATTCTTAAATTTTCTTACATTAATGAAGCCACTATTGAATAATTCTTTAACATAGAGACTTTTCTTATGAGCCTTATGGTCTTTATGAAGCTTCTTTATGTCTTTCTTGTTAATTATTAGATATAAAAATAAGAACAAGATCACCTTTATTCTTATAAACTCTTTTACTTTGTGTTATAATATTGATTTGAGGTTTTCTATTGACTTTGTATTTAGAAATGGCCATTTCAATATCTTCTTATTTTAAAAACATATACTTTCATGATTTGTTTGTTTGTTTGTTTTTAAATTGTTTTAATATTTTTGTAAATAGTAGTATTTTATTTAAACAATTACATGTAGAACTATGTCTTTCTTAAATGTGCAACTTCATCAAACTAAATACTTTAACTAAACTCTTTTAAAAAACATATTAAAAATCTTATTAAAATTTATGCATTTATTAAATTCTTTGTAAGCACAAAATAAAAATTATATACTAATTAATAACTAAAAAGTGTATCAATATCTTATCAATTTTTTTTTATCTTTTATAAAGTGCAAAGAATCTTAATTTTATTTTTTTTATTTTTTTATTTTAAATACAAAGAAAATCAATACAAACTCAATATGTAATAAACTTAGTAGTATTTTATTTTTTATATCCAAAAATAAATTAAAAAACCTGTTTTCAATTTTAATTAAAAGAAAAAATAAAGAAAATTTAAGAATAAAAATTGAAATCTTAGAACAAGTAAAACAAACCATAACAAATTAAATTTCTGAATATTATTAAACCAAAAGACCTTTAATGTGTATTTTTTCTAAAAAAAATATTAACCTAATTTTTAAATAATTAGTATATATTGCAACTTTTACAAGTTATATATATATATATATATATATATATATATTATATTAATAATCTTATTTTTATTATGGTATCATTTAAGCAAAGATAATAAGTAAGAATGTTATATTAAATTTTATATCAATTGAATTTGAAGAATTATTAAACAGATGTAAAAATATATATTACTATTTTAAGATTAATAAGATGTTTTTGAAGAAACTAAGATAAAATTAGTAATATATATATATATATATATATATATGATTGTCTATTACTTCTATAATTTATTATTATACATTGTTTCCAATATTTGTCTTTGTAATTTGAGACATTTATTTATACTTATTTTAATTTATTATTAATACTATTAGTTTAAAATTGATGCCACAAAGCTCAAAAAACTTACTTAAATTTTATTAAGAATTTTGTTGAATTAATGTAATAATATGTATATAGACTGCATAAATGAATTTAGTTATAAATAAGTCAAAACATTAAAGTTTATAAAACATCAATAGATAAATTGTAACAAGGCTTTTAAAAAAGATACTAATATTATGTAATTTGACTTCAACTAGTCACGTTTTGTCTTTCTCTAAGATCTTTTAAATCTCTTCTTTTATTCTTTTGAGACCAAAGAATGAATGATATGTAGTTTAAGTTTTAAATAAAAGTATAGAATAAAATTGAATCAAAAGGCTTTGTAGAATTTACAAGTAATTTATTTTTATTATACTTTGAATTATTTTATTTTAAAAAAAATCTTCATCTAGGTTTTTTCTAATTACAATAAAATATTTTATTTCAAAATTTCTAATTTCCTTTGAAATAGTATCAGCTTTTTCATATTAGAATCACAATAGCTTTGTTCAAACCAATGACTAACTTCAACAATACTTGTCTTATAACATTTGTCTTTTTAAATTTAGAGTGTAGCATTTTTTCAATGGTTAGATATTCTCAAATTTTTATTAGATTGTTCCTTGGGATCTTATTCACTATACTATTCTTTAATTTAAAAAAATATTTTTTCCTAAAATAACAAATTTTTCCTTAAAAAAATAATTATTGCTATATTTTATATTTACTGATAGATTTTTTAATTAAAATTTTAATATATCTAGCATTCTTTAGACAATACAAATTTGAACTTAGTGTTTGCATAGGAAAAATGTAAATGAGAATTAGTTTTTATTTTATAAAAGTTTTGCAATAAATTTTGGAATTAAGATATATAACCAACTTGTAAGCAACTT